CACCCAACACATGCATGTGTACTATTCGGACAACAACTTACGCTCTCGGTTTTAGTGTGAGGTAGGAAGAGAGACAAGACGAGCAGAAACGAAGGCCGCTCTTTTGGTGTGAGCTGCAGACGCATGCACTCTTATTACAGCTTAATCAGTTCTCCCTCGGTTCATCAATCAAAGCGGTCACTAAGCGGCGGTCAATTAAATCGTATGTCAGCCGCTGCGCGCGCTTCTAAATGCATTGTGCGTGTGTGCGTGTGTCTTACCAAGGTCGCGTCGAGAAGTAAAAGTTCTATAATGCTAGTAAAAAATGTACGGAAAAGTAAACCAAACCACGAGTGTTCGAAATGGCCGTAAATGCAACGAAAAATGTAAAAAAAATCATTGCAATTTATTCTAATGTTTTTTTTGTGTGAAAAAAGTCCCGTAAGTGAGTCACAGTTCTAGCGGTGCTGCTAGCGCATGCTTCCATTTAAGTGAATTTGAGTGAAATGTGGCCGAAGGAAACGTAACGGCAGCATGGCATGATGTGCCATTCATCTTAAGTTTTTTTTTTCTGTGAGTTTGAGTGAGAGTGCCAGACGATTGAGTGAAAGTGTCAGTGAAAACAAAAGCAAGCGGCAAGCAGAACAACAAAATATTCCAAAATATCATAGAGCAGAAATATCCCTGAAATTAACTCCAATGTTTTTTTTATGTGAAAAAAGTCCCGAAAGTGATTCACAGTTCTAGCGGTGTTGCCAGTACGTGTTTCCACCGATACGAATTTGAGTGAGAAGTGGAGTGAAGAAAAGGTAACGGCACATGATGAGTGTTTATTTGGTCAAGTTTTTTTTTTGCTTTTTTCTGTGAGTGAGCGTGACGGACAACAAATTGAGTGGAAGTGTTAGTGAAAACAAAAGCAAAACAACAAAAACAACATTACAATTCAACATAAGAACAACGTAAATAATATTCAACGAATTATGGGATACGGTGAGTCGTTTTGTTTCGTTTTACTTTCATACTGTTTTTACCCGATTTCCTCTTTCATATTATCTTAGCATTTCAGTTATGTATATTTTCTGAGCATTTTATTTATATTTTCTTAGCATTTCAGTTGCATTTTCGTAGCGTTTTATTTATATGTTTTCTATATTTATATTTTCCATAGTTAATCTTTTCAAAATACGTTTTTAACCTTTCTTTTTAAGTACTTTGTGCAGGACAAACTAAAACCTTTGGATACTCGAATGTGTTGCTGTTTTGGACATTTTCTCTATAGCAAACCGAACTTTGACAGCGACAGATGCATCTGCATCAGCATCCCCCCATGGGGAATGGGAATGGGAATGGTTATGGCAATGGGAATGGATTGATGAAAAGTGAGAAATAGTATTTCTGCACAATTTGCCACAGAGGGACAGGCAGGTGGGGGGGAAGAGGTGGAGAGTAGGTGGGCAACAGAGTGGATGAGATGGATGGATGAATGGATGGAGACACTTGCAAAATATCAATTACGTTGTGGAGTGGAAATGCAGAGTTCTGGGATGCTATTTCCGCTACAAGTACGGGTATCATTGGCTCCTAGGCAAGCCACGGCAGAGGGGGTCGGGAACGAGGGAATCCTTCAATCATTTCTGGCCAGGAGCGGCCTAGAGCGGCTGCCGCTTACCCATATGTGTGTTTGTATGTATTGGGATTATCGTGCAGCTGCGCTGCTCTGCGCTGCTCTACGCTGAACTGAACTGAACTCTTCCCTGATCCCCGCAGGGACCAAGGCGAACCAAGAGAGATAGACAGGCCAGACGGAGGACAGCCTCGGGCTGTCGACTGTCGGTTCTGTGTGTGTCGGGAGCGAAAGACAAACGAAAGCCGCGCGGAGCGCTGAAACCCATGTGACATGCCCGACACCCCCAGCAGGAGCCAACGGGTAGACCCATTCCCAGGCCCAGGCCGGAGACAGACGGCAGATACATTTTCTATAAATTAAGGCATTTCTGTCACAAATGTCGGGGGAGCAAAGGGAAAACAATTCCATTTGCCGCTGTGCTGGAGTGGAGCAAGTGGAGAGAAAAGGAGTCGCGCGGATCTGCCAGATGGAATTGCAACATGCCTCAAGTTCAGTTTCAACTCCTCACAGACTGCAGAAGTGTGTTATCTCAAATTTGTTTATGCACTCGAGAGTGCGAGCATCTGCCATGGGGCTGGGACTCGGCATTGGGTGTGGCATCTGCCACATGGCATAACAAAAAGAACAGGCAAGAAATGGCTTTTGCCGAAATTAGGGATATTAACCCTGGCTTAATGGGTGAATGTTGTGATCCCATACCAAAGCCGAATACTAAAATATATCTGCTCGAAATCCAACTCAAAATGTGTCCCCTTCCATGTCGATTGATGGACAGGAAAAACTCTGTGGCACCCCATCCACCTGCTAGCTGTTGGTAGTCTCATCTGTCAGGAGATTATTCGCTCGGAATAACTCATTTGTTCACATTAAAGCACTGGCGAAAGGATTACAATTAGCATAATTAATTTCTGGGATTTTCCCCCGCTCGCGTTATTAATCGACTAATAATGCAAACGCCCAAGGCCAGCAGCTCTGTGTTTCTGTTCTCACTCTAATAATTGAACCCGTGCCGGTCCCTAGATAACCCCGAACTGCTGCAGCCATTCCCAAGGCTCGGGGCAATCCAAAGGCCACAACAAAAACACCACTAACCCTGTCTAACCCGGGAGAGTAACCTTCTCATAACTCGCGGGATCCGGCATCGCACTCGGAGCTGGCTGACTCCGGGAGCTGCGAGTATTTCGCAGCTTAATGCTTCCGGCCGGGAACCGGGCACAGTGTGGGCTGTCCGGATGTGCTTGGTGGTCTTTAATGCGTTTATGCCAGACTCCACAGTGGCAAGACTCCTCCATCCTTGATTTCGAAACCCACATCCCTGGACGACGGTTGATGTCTTCACTTTGCTTCTTTGGCTTTGGGTTGCTTTTGCTGCTTTGAGGAAAATGATGTTTACTCTGCTGCCACGCTCGTCTAATTCCGTGCACATCCTACAAACACGCAGACAGAGTTCGTCCTTTTCTGGAATTGTACTGGCACTCCCACGAGCCAGCCCAGCCACACACGCATGGCATGGGGGCGGAAGGGCCTCGCCCTCGAAGGTGGCGCCCAGAGCTGCCACATTCGCAAATAAACGAATCTTTGGCCCACCTCTGAGAGGTTCGATGAGTCTCCTTTCGACTGGACAAATATTGAGTGCAGCTTCTTGGAAGCTAAAATTATTATACGCCTCTAGACACACACAGCAAGGAGTAGTCCCGGTGTAATCATAGACCGAGGACAAACATCGTTGTGTACTTCAATTGCAGTGCAAAGGATAACTCTGATGAGTGTTTCTTGATTAGAAAGAGATTTCTGTAGTCTCACTCGTGCTTTGGTAAATATTTCAGAGTTTGCAGAAAGATTTGCGAGCAAACAGAAAGCTAACTTTATGGCTCATTGAGTTGGGATGTTGTTGGGGCGAGCTTCAATTGAGTAGCACAAAAAGATGTGCATAATCTCTGCAGTCTCTGCGTTAGTTTTGAACTTTAGTTGAACGGAGATCTCTATGAGCCGAGTGTTCCTTGAATCCGGCACCGGCTTATGCCCCCACTCATCCTTTGGTGCAATTCAAATCCCAACCATACCCTGAACTGACCTGTCCAGACCACCGACATTGAAATGCAAATTTAATGTAAATGTTTTAAACTAATTTTCAGTGATTATGCAAAACCGCAAATAAATCTGCAGCCTCCAGTCGAGGATGCTGCCACAAGAAGCAGCATGAGCAGCATCAGCAGCAGCAGCAGCAACAATGAAACGTACCAACAAACCGCAGCAGGAGCCCCAGCTCAGTGCGTGCCCCAAAAGGGCTGCGAGGCATGGAGGGTCGGAAAGTTGGTTTGCTGCTGCTGTGGCAAAAACTTTGCCTCGAAATCTGCTTGGTTTTCGATCATCTGCCCTCCTCCGCTTCATACCCTCCTGCTGCTGATGCTGCTGCTGGTTTGTGCGGATGTGCCGGGGCAAGTTGGTTGCAACAAAATAATTTCGCTGGCTCGTTTGTCAAACTAATGGCAGGAATTTGAGCAATTTAAGGCAACAAAGGTTAAACAATGAATTTCCTGTGCTCCAATATTGAATTTTACTTTTACCCCGACCCCCGGGCGTTCGTGTGATGTCATCACTGTTCCAGAGTCCACTCCCAGCCAACATCTAGCACTCAACCACTTGGCCCCTCGTCTTGCTCTCGCTCTCGGTTGACTGGCAGCTGAGGCTGGCTCCGACAGCTGGTGCCGGACTCACACGCTCCATTAGCGCGACCAAAATTCGATGGCATCTTTTGTGGATAAGGATTGGCCCCGGATACGGATTTGGGCAGATGACGCCTCCGGGGACTTTTGCTGCCGCTGAAATCAAATAATTGAAGTAAATGCTTTTCGCCCCAGCGATTTCCTACATTTCCATCCGAGCTCGCTCGCTCGTTGGTCCGTGGCGTTTGCCGGCGGTTTGAGCATAATGAGCATAATCCCTCGACTGGCTACACTTGACACTGCCCACGGGCTCACGAGCGGAGGGACAGCGTCATCGTCGTCGTAGGTTTGTCAAAGTAATTGGCCAATTTGTGGGCGGCATTCGGGCACACTTTCAGGCTCCACGTTTACTTATGTCCCTGCTGTCCCTTATGATGAGTCGCTGTGCCGCGTAATTACACAATGAATTTTCAATTTTCAGGCGTAAACTTCAGCTGGGAAATATTAGGAAATTCTTAAGAGAAGAGAGACAAGGAGGAAGATCTACAGATCTCTGGGAGTAGCTACTTTAAGCCATCAAGAAAGTAATAGTAGAGGATGGAGATTACATTCCATTATAGTATAAATGAACACTCGAGCAAATTCCATTAGCCCAAAACTTTATTAATTGCCTGACAATTTCCGCAAACGACTGAAATAAACCCAAAGCCAGACACCTAAATACAGTGCCTGCGTCCCAGGACACATATTTGGAGTGGCTTTCGGCAGACGAACAACAAACGGAGAGAATGAAAATCCTGCGTGACATCCGGGCAATGGTTTTGCCCACTCAGGTGTGCGCGCTGCTGCCCTTCTTCAGCGGCGAGGAGCACGAGGAGAACTTTCGATTGAGCGGATGGGGCAGATGGTATGGCAGAGTGATTGCTGCGCTGCTGCTGGTGAGCTCGGCGCTGCTGTGCCAGGATGTGCTGTTCGCCTCGCTGGAGTACAAGCTGGTGGCCAGCTCGCTGGGCGACACCGAGGAGATCAATCGCACCATCGAGACGCTCTTCTGCATCTGCAGCTACACGATGATGGTGCTCTCCAGCGTGCACAATGGCTCGAAGCACTGGAGCACGCTGCGGGACATTGCGCGGATCGACGAGTATCTGGAGGTGAACGGCTTCAGGGAGAGCTACAGCTGCCGCCTGCTGGGTGCCCTGGTGGCTGCCACCTCCACGAGCGTGGTGCTGGTGGCCTTCTATTACGTTCACTTTCTCAGCGGCATCGGCAGTCGTAGGCAGTGGATCCTCATGCTGGTCTACAGCCTGCAGATGCTCTACTCCGGTGTGTTTGCCGTCTATCTGCGCACCATCCTCAAGAATCTGGCACTGCGCATCGAGTTCCTCAATCGGCGGCTGGAGGAGTTCACGCGGCTGGAGAGGAGCGGCAGGCGGAACGATCGCGAGAACTGGCGGGAGCTGAGCAACCTGATTGAAGTCTTCTGCAAATTCCGCTACATCACGGAGAACCTGAACTGTGTGGCCGGTGTGGGTTTGCTCTTCTACTTTGGCTTCTCCTTCTACACGGTCACCAATCAGAGCTACCTGGCCTTCTCCACGCTCACCGCCAAGCAGTCGGCGGACATTGCCGACACCATGGGCCTGTCCTGTGCCTGGGTGCTGGCCGAGACTGTCACCATGGCCGTCATCTGCAGCTCCTGTGATTGTCTCGCCTCGGAGGCCAATACCACTTCCCAGATCCTCGCGCGTGTCTACGGCAAGAGCAAGGAGTTCCAGAACATTATCGACAAGTTCCTCACCAAAAGCATCAAGCAGGATGTGCAGTTTACGGCCTACGGCTTCTTCGCCATCGACAACTCAACGCTCTTCAAAATCTTTTCGGCTGTGACAACTTATCTCGTGATTTTGATACAATTCAAGCAGCTGGAGGACTCCAATGTGGAGGATGTTGAGGTGTGAACAAGTGGAATTCTTCAATGTAAAGTGTTGTGTTTGAGTCGCTGAAAATGAGGCATTTCTCACCGATTTACGTGCTTGAAAATCAATACAAATAAAGGAACAAAAAAGCTGAAGGCTGCAATCTCTGCAAGCTGTGGCCACGGGACCAAGGTGTCGTCTCCTGGGTACCAGCAGAAGCTCGAGCAGAAGCAGCAGCAGCTTACCAAAGGGCGTGCCAGCTGCAACTTAAACGCATCATTAAACTTTTGTCAGGAGTTGCAGTGAGCAGAAGCAGGCAACCTCAAGGCAGATAGAGAGAGAGCGGGAGAGTCACTCGAGCGTGCAACGAAGATGAAGTGCCAAACTAATGAAAGAACTGTGAAATAAGCGTCAGAGCAAAGGAGATATGGGGACAAGAGCCCAAAAATGGGCCAAACGATAAGATTCATTGGAAGTTTTGCCCGCCGTCTTCCGCTCCATTCCATTCCATTCCATTCCCTGGCAAGGCAATAATCAAGCGAATTGTCGCCCTGTCATAATGTTTGAATAGTCGAAAGTTGGGCCAAGTTGAGATTGGTTTTTTTTTCGGTGGAAATCGTATATTATATAACGGATAGGTGGATAAATGGTCTTCACTGTATCCCGATTGAATTGAGGTTTTTTCTTTCATTTTCTTTCTCTCTTTTTTTCCTATTATGATTGAACAAACTTTGGCAGCTGCGATTGCCAATCGTGGGCCCAAAGGGCAGTTTAATTATGGCCAACTCTCAACTTTTTACCAAGAACTTGTCAAATAGCTCTCAACTTGTCGGCCCAGCCGTGGGTACGGGCTAGCAGATCATTGTTGGAGTTCAAAGGTCCAGCTGGGGGGAGGGTAAGGCCCGCCCTTTCGATATCTGATGGTTTATTGTTTATTTGCCTTTCACAAATTGTTAATTAAATTTTTGCACTGCCCCCCGCCGACCCATCGCTGATTATTTTTTGCTTTTTTTGCCTTTTTTATTATTATTAATAATAATTCGTCGAAATCTTTTCCATTTATTTTTTGCAAATTTCTTTCTTGGGCTTTTGGATAGAAAAAACAAAGAGAACAACTTTTTGCATAGTTCTGGATGCCGAGTTTAGCTTTGCCGTTAGTTTATTACGCCATTGTTGTTGTTGTTGTTGTTGTTGTTGTTGTTTTTCATTATTTTTGTTGCTTACTTAGGAGCATTTTCTTCGTTGCTGCCGCCGTTCCTATTGTCTATGCAGGGGAGCTTCTTCGTGTAATATTTCTCTTTCAGCTCCATGGAACCGCCTCCAACGGCTTGTTCTTCCCAGAGATAATTCAGGGTCTTTGTTTTGCGGGCGCGCGATGTTCCCTTCGCACCGCCTAAGTGGATCCACGCACCCAATCCAACCAACCACCCACAGCGCCTACGATACAAAGCCCATCCGGCGAACACGAAAGAGGTTTGGGACGTCTCGGATTTTCGTTGAATGGAATACAATTTTCTGTGCATTTGATTACAAAAGGGATTCGTGTGCTTAACCAGAGGCACAATGCTGCTGCTCCGATGGCAAGGGAGCCTTTCTCTTTCTACTCTTTTATGTATTTTTGTCGCTCGCAGCTTCATATCCAGCTGGACTTACCAGGGCTCCCCCCACTGTGTCCATCAGCGTTGCCCAAAAATTAATAAGGGAAAGTCTTGCTGGATTATTTAGGACAACATGCTGGTCTGTGGATTCTAGAGGCTTCCTTACAGCAAGAGTAAGTTAGATTAGTGATTGCTAGAGATATTTATGTCGTGTAAAATGTGGAGTGGTGTCTGTACCAGTCTCAGGACTCTAACTAGGAAGTGCCTGCCGCTTCACCATCTGTGATTGTGTTGGGCTTTGAGTAGAGTTCTCGACTGAGAAGAATTTCAAGTGCTACAAGCTGTGGCATTAAATCGAGTTTTTATTTAGAGCAAAAAGAAACACTAACAGACTTGATGCTGCATTCAATTGCACATCAACGTCCAGAGTAAAATATAAATCGACAGTGAGCAAATGAAATCTTATTTGTATGATGCCGATTTGCTATAGTAAGTGATTGCCCACCAGCAGCAGCAGCAGCAGCAGCTCGCTCCTAAATGTTGATAAATGATCTCCACCCACACAGCGGCACCAAAAACCAATGTCCTGTGCTCGCAGCTTGGGGCGGGAGCTGGCAGGGGACTGTGCCACCCAGCCGCGAGATGCCAAAGCATCAATAGTCGATTTGGCTCCCCTCAATGCTATTTTGGCCACAGTTACGAACAAACTACAAATGGAATTTATTATGCGTCGCCCAATTTCTGTGCTCTCTGGTGGCAGCAATTTATCTTCCATAAACATTTATCTGCGCATTTGACTGTGACCTGCCAACCAAGGATCGCTAAGCAGCTGAATCATTGTCACTCTAGCAGGATTTATTAGGATGAAGTAAAGGTCTCCCCTCTCTATATGAAGATCCACCCAGAAATAGCTAAAAATTTGGACAACATTTTTCGATCAATTCCATTGGAGAATATTTAATGAAATGTTGAGGCCTCTCTTCTGTGGGGAAGCACTTCGTAGCCCTTGCCCCCCCCCCCCCCCCTTCCCTACCCTCTCTGGCTTTGTGAAACATTCAAACAATGGAATGAAAAAGCCAACAGAAATGGTGGGCTGCGGCTTGTTACACGAATCTCATTTCGTATGCGGATGGAATTAAAGAAAATTAAAATTTATTGCCCATGGAAATCCTTTTGCCTTTGCCAGTGCCTTTGCCTCCTTTTCAACATCTCATTCTACCATTAAGCTTACATTCTATTGTAAACCAATGTACATGCCGCAGTGGACCAGTTGGTACCGCAGCAGCAACGAACCAAATCCATTCATTCATATTTATGCCACACAAAGAGCAAAAGTTGTATGCCACTTCTTCGACGTCGACAGTTGTTTTGCCACACAAATTTATTGGCAGTCGGCCATCAGCGTCGCAACGAAATCGAATGGGTGGGATACAGGGCCAGGGACCAGCCAACGTGACATATTTTATAAAAACGAATAACGTTTGCAATAATGCAAGGCAGGGGCGAGTGCGTGCTGTCAGGATATAGAAGGAGGAGTAGGTTGGAGGAGGAGCATCCCTTATCAAAACATACGCACTGCTGTCATTATAATAAAATTCCTGTTCAAAAGCGAACGGAACGAACGGAATGTGGTGATAACTAACGATGAGGGGGAGCAGCCAATGTAAATGATGGAAAATGGCAGGCAATAAACGTAGAAAATGGAACACAAAGTAAATTACAGTCAGCCGCATATGAGAATATGATTGCCAAAGCAGAGAGCGCTCTGGAGACAGTCCCAGGGATACAGCTGAAGGATGTGCTTCAGATATTCGTACGTATGGAAGAGCTCACACACAAAGTAATTATGAGAACCACTTGCAAATGTTCCCCCACTTACATCTCTCTCTCTCTCTTTGTGTGTATTTACTTTTGTAAGTAACTGTTTGCAAGTGTTTGGGCAACACACAGCTCGGAGTGGGGCAGCAACTCAGAGAACAACCAACAAGTTTGCCGCCGAGTCGCTGCTCGTGCGAGTCATTATAAGTTACGCTAATCAAGTTGAACGTGCGCTGCGGTGGGGCATGCCACACACACACACACACACACACACACATAGATGGGGAGGCGTGGCTGTGACTGCCAACCGGATGGCAGGCAGACGACACCGGTGCAGAGGCAGAGCAGAGTGTTGAAAGAAAGGAAATGACAATTCAAATTAAAGACACCAGACCCACGTGGCAGACCCTCCTGCCCCGCCCAAGACTGCTCTGCTGCATAGTGAAGGGCTGAGAAGTAAATCAGAGAATGGGAAAAGGGCACACAGTGTGGCAGGCAGACCACGCCCCGTTCTCCTCCTGTTCACATTGCCACTTAACATGAAATTAATTATGAAACTTTTGTGCAAAATTTTGTTGAACGAGTTGAAAAGTCTTCTTCAATGCTGCCTCTGCCTCTGCCTCTGCCTCTGCCGATGGGTGGGGCAGCAGAGGCAGTGGCAGTAGCAGGGGGAAACACGTACTAAGTATGTGGCCGGTAAAAAAAGTTAACGCGCCCGGGCATGGGGCATGGGAAATTAAGTACACGCCACGTGGGCCACAAGTCTGCCGAGGACAGGCGAGCAGCGCCTACTCTGGCTACCTCCGTGTCTGCCTCACATGTACATATATGGGTGTGTGTGTGTGTGTGTGAGTGTTGCCACAGCAAACACCGCAACGCAAAGAGCAGCATCAGCAGAGGAGAACAGAGAGAGGAGAGAGAGAGAGAGAGAGAGAGTTTTTGTCGCCCGGAAATGTACAAAAAGAACAGTGGGATCGATGCTTAGAGACTGGCAGATAGGAACACATTTTGGAGCTCAGTTTTAGTTAAGGAATAACTCAAATCTACGGCACACAGCACATTGAAATGGCCATGAAAAGCCATCGGAAATGTGATCCATAATTTGCACATTTGCACACTGTTTGGTTGGCAGCCAATTCCCAGCCCAATCCACCCCTTCAGCATCTGCAGTTGGGGATGCGGAGGCTGTTGCAATTAGGCCGCAACGCAGGCTGTCGGTGGCAACCGGAAACAAGCCCAAATAAGTATGCAATGAACTTTTTCTGCGCCCTCAACAAGGAAACTTTCGCCAGGCCAGAAACAGAGCCGTTCCCCTTGCCCTTCCCCATGCCCCTGCACCACCCCACCACGCTGGCATGTAAGTTGTTTTACTTCAAATTTTAATTATGATTTAATGCTGAAATACGGAAATAATTTGCGGCAAACAACTTTTCGCTGCGCGCCGCCTCAGTAATTCCATTTCATGGGTCGGCAATTGCGGCTGCTACTTGCTGCCTCATCCGATGGGAAACCATATACATGCGAGCGTACATACGATACTTTATGCTCCCTCAGCCGGTTTATAATCGGACTATTTCCGACCTTAGACGGCTACGAGCAACTTCCTACTGCCACTCCCTCCCACAC